ACTTTGAACTTACATATTTTCCACGAAAATGTCGGAATTCTGCCAAAAGTTGCAACATCAGAATTCAGATCATGTTATCATTGACAATTTGTGAATGTCAAGTTACAAAATTTCAATTAAATATGCAAAAAAGCAAATTATTGAGCACTCGCTAACAACACGACTGATCTCTATCAAGCAGCACCAAGCACTACCAAACCAACAATTACCAAGGAAGATAAATAGACCAATGACGTTCTTTCTCGGGTGGTTCCGATTGGCCGACGGCGACACCACGAAACAGTTGCTCCTGGGGGTGGGCGGGACTGACAGAGGAAAAACCATTAAATAACTGAAAAATATTGCCGAATATTAAAAGGATCTTATAAATGCTGCAGCAGCAATTAATCTAACGAACCGTAACGCTTTCGAAAAAAAGAGTCGTATTATTTCAAATGGAGGTCTGAAATAAAGAGGCCGGGAAGTCTCGAGATCGTGCTGCAACATTGTACATTGTATTTTTAAAGCCGTCAACTTACTAAAATAGAATCGAAATTTCTGTATCGCAGTATCATGTACGTAATTCACCACTGTTTTATGTATTTAGGCAGAAGACGCGCGACGAGGAAACTCTGTTTTTTAGCGATGTCAGCACATATTTCAGAACATGCGATAGGAAACCCGATACATATATGTATACGGTGCCTGGTCTATCCTGATACCTCGTCTGCGGTTCATAATATTTACCGCCAGAAGGCGCCAACAATAAAATCCAGGAATTTACCATGTGCACCACCATGATCATCAACCGGCAAACGTTTATCGGTAATTTGCTCAACAATTTGAACGTTTTGTCACTCCACGAATTGGCGCTATTCGACTGTTTGCAGACAGTAGAATTCAATTCCTGATTTCAAATTGCCTCATATAGGAAAAGTGTCACACAAATTATTTGTCGAGATATCTGATGTCAGGACATGAAATGGAAAGTTGTTTATAACAAATTAATTAAATCTTAAATATGCGAAAAGTCATTTGGGCTACATTGCTAGGGATCTCTTTTGGATTTTTCAATCGTGAAAGTGAAGAAAAATTTGCATAATGTGAAAAAATCAGTAAAACTCGATCGTTAACTCGAAGAACGAGTTAGTATCTAGAGAATAGAAGAATAGTGCCTGATCTCAAGAATTTTCGAACGTTCGAAGGCTTACATTAAAGATAAGGTGATTCGACCAAAAAATAAAAGTATTCGCAAGTAGGGGACAACATACATATATTAAAGAGCAGATGTATTTATTTATTTATTTATTCATTTATTTGCTTTATTGTTGTATGTCATATAATAGTTTTGTGTTGTATATCGCAATTATCATAAATCAAATTTGAAAATAGGCTTTAAATTATAACAATGTATCTTAGAGAATAATTGAAGCGTTCCCTGGAATAATAGATCAAAAGCTCTCATATAATTTTCACGAGCTTCATCGAAACTTACGCGTAGGGGACCGTTTCAATTATAGTATCGTCGCTATGTATTGAACACTTGTCGAAATCCCCACCAAGAAAGATTTTCAAATGTTCAATCGAGAAATGAACATTTCTTATGTATGTATATCGAGTGTTTATCTAGAATATTTAATATATCATACTAGTCCAGCCGAACAGCAGGTGACATTTTCTATTTACTTTTACCTTTCATTTCCTATAATTATGTCTTGTGTAATAATAACCATAATATAATAATAAACATTATTACCACCACAGCAATAATAGTATTATAATAGCACTGTTTCTAGGGTCGCACGGAGTTATATTTACGTGTCGGCGGCCCACTACCTGTTTAACAATGAACAATATTCATTGATTCGAATAGGATTCGGTATACATAATGTTTAATGTATTATTAGTACAGCGCGTATTAATTCGTGACAGCGTGTCTTCCAATCTTTTTCATTTCCGTTTCGACACTTTCATCGTTCAAGATTCAAGATTCAAGATTCAAGATTCAAGATTCAAGATTCAAGATTCAAGATTCAAAATTGATTCATATACGTCAACGATGTCAAGGTGTTGCTAGTTGCACTGTTTCATCCGAGTAGACTTTAGATCGAGTAGAATCTAGTATGACATTGCGGACTTGTTACGTTACGCTTCTCAACCAGCACCACATTATTCGCGTTTCTTTGATTCAGGATCTCGCTTACAACGATAGATAAACCAGATCGGCCGAACGATATGTCTGGCATGTTTGCAAAACACAATACGAAACTAACCAGAAGCAAAATGAATACCGAAGGCAAAAATCAGCGATCTCTGATCGTACCATGCGGGTGTTATGTAGACGTGTCTGTAGAAGCATCTGTTTTATATGTACGTACGCGTGTGAACATTTGATAAATGTTTTATAAATTATTCGCAACACTATAGATTCGTTGGAGAGATTGCGTCGACGGTCATCTTCGGATGACCCGACTAAACCTGTTTATCAGCGAAACACAGAGAATGTTTCTTTTTGCTAAACGTAAAACCAATACTTTTCATTGAGATCTTATTATTCTTCTCCTTGGTATTATCACGATTATTATTATTATTATTATCATTATCATTATGCAATTATCGTCGTTGTCATTGTTACCGTCGTTATCGTCATTTCATTGATTGTCGGTAGAGTAAATAAACTGGGTGTAATGAACGCAATGAAATATTTCAATAAAACAAGAAACTGTGATCATACGTTACCATGAATATACAGAAGCGATTATCATCTATGACAATGATCATAATAGAATTTCATAATGTATACGCGCAAGTGTACGTACGTACGTAACTGTGTGCGTGCGTGCGTGTGTGTGTGTTTGTGTATCTGTGTGTATACGTCTTTAAGTATGTATGTATTCATGTTGTATATCTGCATGCATGTACGTAAAGCAACCGTAGAAAAAGATCGAAGATATATTGCAGTCAATAACAAAACTTCTTTGTATTGTTTTGATTTCACAAATCTTGTAATAGAGTTCTTTCGATACCATGTTTGGAAATGATTTGTATCGAATAATCGAGTTGGACAATACGATAAGTTGAAAGAAGGATTTACCGCCTTATTACCTAGTAGCATGACAAATAATCTTGAAATTCTGTTAGATGGATATAATTAGAATTAACGATGCATTTCAAGTACCTGGAAACAACGCTTCGTATTTCACTTCCATTTATGTACTACTTTGACTTGCAAGTTCTGTTTCACGTTTTGCAGGTCAGAAAGCGAAATTCCTATACTCCCTTAATGGGTCCATTTATTCCATGTCTGGAACAAAGTTGTTTATATTATGTACATGTTCCATAAGAAAAATGAGTAAACAATTGAACAGAAACACTTATTTTTCTCGAATGAAAAATGTACAATTCTCGAATAGCTATCGAATATGGAAAGAGCAGATGAGAATGAAAAGGCTTACTGACCCAAGCAATCGTTCAATTAAAAAGAAACCTAATAGAATCGTAGAAAGAGAACAAATTGAAATGTATTTTCTTGAAAAGTGAACATAACGTACCGGATGTTGTTTATCTTGAACGGCATCCGGTATTCCCCAGGCTGGTGGATCTATTTTATTAGGTTCATTTGGAGGTATTTCTGTTAAAGCTGGTGCTCCGAATTGACCTGGTAATAGCGTTAATGCTGGCATTAGGGATAGCGCTGCCGCGCTTCCGTTAGGGAACGGTTGTTGTTGAGCATCTACGTGGCCCTGAACCAATCCACAAAACGCGTTGATCGTAGACAAACGTTAGGAAGGATAAATACCATACATGTTGTACAATGGGATAATAAGCGTTACCTGAAACGAAGATTCCATCATTTGGTGGAGTTCGGCGTCGACGTTGGATATACGGTTGTAGGTGGCATTGGACCGAAACATTTGATGCCTGTCTATCCCAGGAGCTAAACCGGCCCAAGATCCAACAAGTTTCTCATTGTTGAGCATCCAGTTGATCGAATCGGCATCACCGCCAGGTCCCATGCCGGATGTTGTGTAATTCTTCCAAGCTCTTTCGGTGCCGATCGGTCGAGGCACCTTGCGATCTTCGATTTTCAGCTGACTCATCTCTTGGGCCACTTGTGCCGGTGAAGAAGGCGATATCGCTGGTGAACCACCATTCTCCAACGTAGTGATCAGGTCGATGTTTCCAGGTTGTGCGGCACTCATGTTGGTCAAATGATTTGAAAAACCGATCTGTCCGATCATCGGGTCTTGATGCGTCGGGTAATTATTGTGCGGTGGAGCGAATGGCCAACGCGTTTGACCGTTACTGGAGATGCTGGAGTTTGGAGTAGCTCGCGATGGCCCCTGATACTTTCCCAGGGGAAAGTTTCCGAGCATTGCCAAATTATTCGACTGGATCGCAGATGGCGGAGGTGGTGGTACAGGGGCAAACATGTTTGCGTGGATTCCCGCCGCTGCTGCAGCCGCGGCTGCCGCCGCAGCCGCCGATCCCGGATTAAACATCGTCACTTGAGGTTTATTGTTCAAATGCAAAGAACTCGAAAAGTCGGGTGCTCTGGGATTTAATCTTGACATACTGACGGTAGTATTTACAGAAGCGGATGGAGCTGCTATCGTTTGCGTGAAATTCTGCATGTGAGGGTGAAACGGTAGAAGAGGGTGATTTTGCTGACCTTCGTTCGGCACCATTTTCAGCAGATTCGAATTCACATTCGGGTGCTCGTAACCGACGTTATTGGCTTTAAACAATCCTACGTCTAATGTTGGTTGAGACGTTGAAGGTAGAATGTGCGGTTGGTGCGTCGTAGTGTTTCGCGATGTCAATTCACCTTGAAATACCGGCCTGCTGAACTGAGCTCCCATCGCTGCGCCCATCTCTATGGCTTGTTGAGGGATCACTGGTCGCGCAACTGCCAAATTACCAGGCGGTTTGTTCGAAAGCGAATGATCGTTGTAATTCCCGCTTGTCGGTTGGAATTGAGGCGGCTGAATAGGACTGTGTCCTGTGTTGGACGACGTGCCGCTTCCTATGCTGGTTGCACTCGTATTGCCCGCGCTATTAGATTTGCTCGACACAGGGGAACACATGGCTGTCCCGCGATATCCAGGAGCTTTCGAGGCATCCACCTGTTTCGAAACAACAAATTATATAAGGAACGTCGAAATTAGGCCTGATATAATAATTCGTATACTTATTTTATAGGTTTCCGATACTAACCTGTGGGGGGACGCTGTCTATAAATTTCGACGACGACGAACCGGATGTATTTACTGAAACACCACCACCAGCTACGGTCGCGAAATTCATACCCTTTTGCGATTCATTTTCTCGGCCACCCCACATCGATTGTTGAGTAACTTTGGTAAACGTATCGTTGAACAACGAATATTCGAGCGGCGTGTTATTCGCCGCTTGTTGCTGCTGCTGCTGTTGTTGTTGTTGTTGTTGTTGTTGTTGTTGTTGCTGCTGTTCTTGAATCGTAGACGTGATCGGTGTTGAACTCCTTATTTGATGCTGCGGTTGTGGTTGTTGTTGTTGTTGTTGTTGTTGCTGCTGCTGCTGTTGCAATTGTTGACTCTGCGATGATACGATAGGAGGAGACGGAGTAACGCGAACCGAACTCGAACAAGTTGTTGCGATAGAATTTTCTGGGCAATAAGCAACCACTGTACTCGTTGCCGGTGACATCGTGACGTTCGAACCAGGAGAGTAAGTAGATTTTCCGGTGTAATGGGTAACCATAGTTGGCGGGGCAGACAAAGTAGGCAGTGGTCGGCAGTGTTTCGGAGATGTACTGGCTACAGGCTGCTGAGACGTTGTTTGAGCCATTGCTGTAGCTGTAGCTGACATTACAGTGACGGCATTAGCTTGCAACGATTTCTGCTTGTTTACCGCGGTATGAGTGGACTGCATCACGGTGGTGGATGTATGTGTGGAGGCAGTGATTTCGGATAACTTTGCTGCAAATGTTTGCGTGGTGCTTGTCGTCACAATTTTTGTTGCCCGTCCGGCCGTCATGATCGCGCTCGTATACGACATTGTCGTCTTTGTGTTCGACGACGAAGCCATTTGAGCAGCCACAGCCTGAGCACGTTTCTCAGCTACACACGGAAAAGTAGCAAACAATTATTCAAGCATCGAAACACTTCGTGCTTGCACTAGATACTTCAAAGAATTTGACGGTTACACGACGTTCTAAAGAATATCTATTTGGTTACGCGCGTGTAACGAGATTCTGGTTTCGTTACTAATTCTCAACTTGAAATGTATGTGAAACGTATAATGTACATTACCTGCGGCAACAAGTCGGGGCGCCGTTGCACGCGGCAATGGCGTTGGAAATGCTCCGCTAAGTTTAATGGTGGACGACGATCGAATCGGAATTAACTGATTCACAGTTGAAACCCCCGATGTATAACTGGATTTGTTGATTTGCGTATTATTGGAATTCGACGTTAGACTGAGCGGTTTACTTACTGGGCCCAATTTTGGTTTACTGGACTGAAATTTAAGGTAAATTGCATTCGCAAAACGTACTTTTCTAATGCACAACGCGCTATACGTAGTATAAAGTTCGTTGAATCTTACGGCTATCGTGGAAACAGTTTTATCCCAAGAAGATGTCGTGACAACGACAAGTTTCGATTTTGGAAGCATTTGCAATATATCAACGTCAGGATCTTTGATCAACGCTGCTATTAGTGCATGAGCTTGCTTCGTTGCATCCGATGATCCCCTAAAATTATCCAGAAAATATCAATAAACGAAGAAAGGAAATGGAAACCATTTCCACTGCCAGACAGCATGAAAACTATGATAGGATAAATTAAGATTGAGATATCGTACTTGATAGTAATGATTCGTTCACCCTGGCATTTACTTTGTTTATCTACTTCAATATGTGCTCCCGTAGCGCCTCTGATTGCATTGATGTTGCTGCCGCCTCTTCCTATTACTCGGCTGATCGCATTCGGTGGAACAGAAACCTTCTTCGAACGGAACGGAGAATTCATGAACCTTCCCGAATCATCGGATTGTCCCCTATTTCGAAAATATTTACATTTCTTGATCCATTCTAGTTAGGTTTCTCGTTAAACGGGGAGAGTACGGGCAAGATACGGACAACACAGAATTATAAATTTATTTTCGTTGCTTTCCTTACTTTCGAACGACTTCTTTCCATCCTTCCTCGCGCTTGCCTCCTTGTTTCGGACTTGTGGAAGTGTTGGTTTTCGTGGTTGTGTTCAACGAGTCACCGTCGTATTGATTGCTGTAAGACTTTTTCCCTTTACCAGGTATATATGTCTCGTTGCCGGTTGCTTCGAAATCTTCCCTATCAGCGGGGTGCCTGGATGACTCGAATACCAATTGACCTTTTAATTTACGTTCGTTGCAAGTAATGGTCGAGGATCTGGCACTCGTCGTAACAGATATAGTGGACACAGATGCTCCGTTGGTGGCGTTAGTCATGATCCTTCTAAAAATTCAAATCAATTTAAATGTCGGCACGAAGAGACGCCCGTGTTCTATAGAAATTATGCGTAAAATAAGATGTTGTGCTACGAGATAGTATTCTACACGAGACTCACTTCTCAGTGGTATTGTTATTTTGAGACTTGGTTGGTGTGATGGAATTTTGGGTCAACGCGTTACTCTGAGCGATCACAGTTTTCGGCGATCTCTGGGGAGATGTATCCTTTTCGTTGTTGGCAGGGCTGTTGGTCTTCTTTTTCTTCTTCTCCTTTTTCTTCTCCCTAGCTTTGACATCGTTACTGCTACAACTACCTTGGCTGTTTGCATCGATTCCACTATCACCTTCTTCTCTGTCGGGATCTTCTGGACTTCTATTAACCGGTGACGGCATACTGTCCATTCTTTCGGATCCGTCGCCAGTTTCGTGTTCACTGTCGTCGGCTCGATCACATTCTTCGTCCCCAGACTTTTTTCCGCTTTCCTCCTTGTCTTCGTACGTGCTTTCATTCTTTTTATATTCCTCGTGTAATTTTCTCTTCTCTTCCTTTTTCTCGAGTTTCTTTTTTTTCTTCCGTTCTCGTCTGCGAGCAGCCGCCGCTTTCTTCGATTCTTCCCGTGTTTTCTCCATATCCAATTCTTCCAATAGTATGCTCGCGTTTTTATTCGCTTTGGCCGCTTGAGTTTCTTTCGCTGCTCGAATTACTTTAACACATTCCTGACACTTTTCGAGAAGTTCTTTGTCGCTTACAGTGGCTATGTACCTAGTCATTTCTTGGTCGCTTGGGAACTGTGTAACGTGATTCACCATCCATTTCACAACTTTAATATGTCCCTTGCGAAACGCTGCCATTAAACAGGACACCTAGATGATACGAAGTCACACGTGTACTCGTCGATTCGGTATAAATACAAGTATAATACAGTTTTAATGTATAGAATACAGACTTTCGATATATTCAATATATACATACCTTACGATTATCTTGCGAATCGATGTCTGCGCCAGCATGGTATAACAGATCGACGACGTTCAAGTGTCCACCGTTTGCTGCTAACCACAATGGGCTGTTTCCCTTTTTATTTTTTACCTCTACTTGTGTCCCTCTACAAAACACGAACGAATAATAGAGAAATCTCGTATTTCTCTTCTCGCTTTCGGTGAGCGATTACAAAGAGATACGCGAAGAAACAAGTCCGAACAGACTACCTTGATAATAGTAATTCTACGAAACGGCAGTGTCCTTTATCGGCGGCGATGGTAAGAGCAGTGTCACGAGACGACGGAACGGGGGTGGCGTTCACATCTGCTCCTTTGGTAAGTAAAACACGACCGACTTCTACGTAACCACCACTCGCAGCTTCCATTAACGGTGTTAAACCAGTCTGTGAGAACGTACATATATTTTAACATAATGCCTAAATACGTCGGACAACACAACTCACATGGGGATATCTATAAATGCAATTGTATGTACCTTAGCACGATGTTCGACGTTGGCTTTACGATCGAGAAGAAGACTGACTACCTCGTGTCTTCCTTGAAAACACGCCAATGTTAGCGCTGTATTACGATTTGTCTCGATCTGGGCGTTTATATCGCTGCCCATGTCGAGCAACAGCTTCACCGCCGCTATAAGTTATCGTTGATAAAGTTACCGTTTACACAGATTTCATGGAACACAATGAACACAAATGATCACAACGTCAACTAAATGTTTTACGGTACGTACCAACGTGACCGTTCATAGCGGCAAGCATGAGCGGGGATATACCCAATTTTGAACCAGTTCTGGAATTAATTTCAGCACCATGACTGAGGAGAAGCTTTATTATGTTAACATAACCGCCGGATGCTGCCAGGCTTAAAGGTGTGTAATCAGAAACATTACGATGTTCTTTATTGGCAGCTCGATTAAGTAAAAGCTCTACCACTTCGTATCTACCACCGCTACAAGCCAGAGATAAAGGTGTATCCTTGGTGCGTTCAGACTGAGCTTCTATATCAGCCCCGTGATTTAAAAGGATCTCTACAACTTTATGATGTCCAGCTGTTGCAGCCAATATAAGCGGAGTGAATCCCTTTTTGTCTCTATGTTCTGAAAAATGTAACGCATGATGATAATGTTGCGAATTTGCAGATCGCATATAGTTACTTAAAGACCATTTACCTATATCTGCACCACGACTCAACAAAAGTTCGGCAAGCTCTACATGGCCACCAGCGCATGCCAAAGTCAAAGCAGTATCGTGATTACTGTCTGTTTCAGAGTCCACGTCCATACAAGAAAACGGAGCGGGTGGTACTTGATTAGTTGTGTATCCTCCAACCGTTGGTACGCCCGTTGTGTACTGACCGGCAACTAAAATTGCACACGAATTAGAAAAATTGTTACCGATTAATATCCGATATTCTTCTTTCCTATCGTATAGAGTTTTCTTACCTGTCGTCGGATCTAATTGGTAATTTTGACTGGGAAAATTGGGAGTCTGTTGTTGGGTATTGGCAGTTTGTTGTTGTTGGCATGATTGTTGTTGAGGTAAAAGCGGATATCTTCCCTTTTTTCCTTTACCGGTCGCTGGCGCAGTATAAACTTGTTTTTTGTCCGAAGCAACGATGGTGGCAGCCGTTGTCGTGACCGGTGCTTGCGTTTGAGTAGCCACTTGAACTTGATTGGTGTTACAAGCTGTCGATTGTGTGTAACCGTTCGTTTGATGAGGAATGCTATCTATTACTCCACTCGCTTCGGTTACATTTGGTAGAGCTTGCATGGGAACTGCTGAATACAGGAATAAATATATATATATATATATATATATATATTTCTATGTGCAGTAATATACTATACTTGACAAATATACTTGAAACTTACTTATTTGCGACGATTGGAGTGGTAATTGCGGTTGGAAATGGCATCGTAAAGCATCGAGATACCCATCTTGAAAGTGTTTCAAATAATTCAAATCTTTCAACTCTTTAAACGGTTTATTTTGTAAAGACTGCGTACTGGTTAATTGTAGATCGGCTGATATGTCTGTTTGTATTTGAACACCAGCACTGGTGACTTGAAGCGAAGGCAAGGTCGGTAATGAAACAGAAGGTACCGATAACACAGGATTCGTGAAGTATTCTTGAGACGCATAAGGACTGCTCGTTTGCTGAACTATTTGTGCACTTTGCAATTGTTGTTGCTGCGCGGACTGTTGTTGCTGCTGCTGTTGTTGTTGTTGTTGTTGCTGCTGCTGTAGTTGCTGCTGTTGTTGCGGATCTTTACTATTTGAAACTTCTAACCTTTTCAATTCAAGCTTCTCTTTATCTTCCGTCGCTACTGACACACGGGGAATACATTTCAGAAATAAATTTCTATGTTAATCGAAAAGGTTGAAATAATTACCGTCAACCGTGTCATCGAAACTGATAGAGCGAAAAATTTCAAAAGCGTCGTCTAGGGGAATATGCGTGCCGTCTTCCAATTTTATAACGCTTTCGCTGGTACAAAGTGCTTTTGCTTTTTGAGCAGCAGCCACAAACGGACAAGCGCCATCACGATGCAGTCTTGCTAATTCGGGATCCGCTTGCTCCGTAAGATTCTGTTGAGTTGATTGCTGCAAATGTGAATCGCATTATTTAAAGAATGTGATCATTCATTTTATGATACACGACACAAACTCGAGAAATCAATTTTAGTTTACAATTACCTGATCGTGAAGATGATGCGTATACGCAGAATGAAGATGCGACATTAATTGAGTAGGCATGAGTATGTTGTTTCCATTAGTAGTCACTGGACCAGATTCCTGTTGAGACTGCGAATGTTGTTGATGCGACTGTAAAGCTTGTTGTTGAATTTGTGCCTGCTGAGGTGGTGGCTGCTGCTGTTGTTGCTGCTGTTGCTGTTGTACCTAATTGTATTGTATGTAGATAATATTTTCATTAAAGGTGTAACATTATCGTAGTAAAACGAAAGTAGAAAACAAATATTCAAACCTGTACTTGATCAAGCTGTAATTGAAGCTGCTGATTAAGTTGTTGCAGTTGATGCACCTGTTGCACTTGGTAGGTGTGTTGCCGTTGTTTCTGTTGGTATTGCTGTTGAAGTCCAGCCATTAAAGTAGCCTGTTGTTGTTGTTGCTGCTGCTGCTGCTGCTNAATATTTTCATTAAAGGTGTAACATTATCGTAGTAAAACGAAAGTAGAAAACAAATATTCAAACCTGTACTTGATCAAGCTGTAATTGAAGCTGCTGATTAAGTTGTTGCAGTTGATGCACCTGTTGCACTTGGTAGGTGTGTTGCCGTTGTTTCTGTTGGTATTGCTGTTGAAGTCCAGCCATTAAAGTAGCCTGTTGTTGTTGTTGCTGCTGCTGCTGCTGCTGTTGTTGTTGTTGTTGTTGCTGCTGCTGCTGCTGTTGTTGTTGTTGTAATTTTCCACCTACTACACTAGACGTAGCTTTGCGGATGTTTTTACCTTCCTTTTTCGAGACGGGCTTCGCTTTAGGGCGATCGCTTATGGCGGTGTTTTGGCTGACGTCGCTACTTGCAGTGATTGGTTGAGAAACTGTCATGACGGTAGGTGGTGTAGATATACTTGGAGGGCTCGGCGTAGTCGTAGAAGATGTGTTAGAGGTAACCAATGGAACGGTCGACGTAACCGGTATCGTTGCAAGAGAGAGTGCATTTGTTGTAGGAAAAATCTCGCGACCTAATTTTCTACGTGCCATTTCTTGTCCAAGTTTTGTTCCTTCGAGAAAAGATTCATAATACTGCGAAATTTCCAGACTGGTACCTTGATTGAAAATATTACTATTAAGAATATTTTATGCAACGCAATTATTATCACCTGCAAAGAAAAGCCCAATAGACGAAGGATTTAAATACCTGGTGACAACATATCAGATTCACTGGGTTCTTCCGACTGAGACTGTTGTTGAGTTGGAACAGAATTTCCTGAACCGGAGAACCAATGGGCTGGACCCTTAATTTGAAGTTCCCTTTCTACCCTCTGCGCATATTTAGAATTTACAACATTAGAATCGTCGAAAATGTATAAATTAATAAAAAGTATACGCACCTGTAATTCTTCAAGTATTTGCCGTTTATGTAGGATTTGTTCTTGTCGAGTATTTTTTCGACTCTCGGAACCATTCAAACCCGGGGTCGGTGCTGGAGCTGGACTAAGGCTAATATTAGGTTCTGAAAGGTTGGTAAATCCTCCACTGCCTTTGTCCAAAATGTTAGTATCGTCTTTAGTTGCTACGATCGCTTCACCTGCGGGTTGAGAACGAACTTGTTGCGCCTCGGCCGAAGTAAGGCTCATATCAGGCATCATGGTTACTGATCGATTTTTTCTTAACAATGACTTCTGTGTATTATGTTTAGGTTGGATATTTTGCGCTTGCGATTGCTCTGCATTATGTTGTTGTTGCTGTTGATGTTGCGACTGCGTCGTGGATGCTTGTTGTTGATGAGGCATGCGTTGTTGATGTGCTATGTGCTGCTGCGGCTGTTGCTGTTGTTGCTGCGGCTGTTGTTGTGATTGTTGTTGTTGCTGTTGTTGTTGTGGAAGTAACATTGGCGCAGGTGCAGCATTATGCGGAGCGCTCATCATAATACTGTGAGGATAATCTAACAAAAGTTGTACAACACTCGTATGTCCACCCTTCGCAGCTTCAATCAACATCGTAGAATTATCCTACAGTAAATATATAATCTTATTGCATTTACATAGACGATCAAATATTTATCGGTGCCATTAAACTGATCGTAAAATCGTACCTTTAGTTTATGAAACGGATTTGCAGACTGTGCAAGTAAAAGTTCAACAACCGCAAGATGACCACCAGCACAGGCTAAGGAGAGAGGAGTATGATCGTTGTTTGTCGTTTGTCTATTAACATCCGCACGTTTCGATGTTAGAAACTGGACTGTACAGAGATGTCCAGCTCTGCATGCCTTCATCAATGGCGTTCTGCCACCTTCGGATTCATGCTCCTACGCATTAAAGAAAAAAGGAGGAATAGTAGACCGGCGGTCAGAGCTCGTTCGTATGTACTCTTTAATCAAAGATACATACTAAATCAGCGCCAAACTGAAGTAAGAGATCCGCAACATCGGTATGTCCGTTTTCACACGCATATGTTAAGGCTGTATCTCCTGTTTGAGTCTGAGCATGAACATCTGCCGCGGATTCAAGTAAATAACGAACAAGTTCCAAATGACCCTCTTGCGCAGCTTCCATCAGAGGAGTAGAAGCACCTAATTCGATGTCAGCTTCGGCTTTAATTAGAAAGTCAGCGACTTCTAAAAAACCACCACAGCAAGCTAAAGTAAGTGCTGTTTCTTGAGTTTCTTCCGTTTGAGCATTGATATTCGCTCCTATGTGTAAGTAGAAAATAAAGATTTTATTATACCATATTATGTTGTATGTTATATCATATATTCCTACCGTGTAATTAGACCAAGAATATTGCACAATATATTGATCCTTCTACAATACCTTGACTTAGAAGCAAAGCAACCATTTCCTCATGACCTTCACGCGCTGCTTCCATCAACGGAGTATAACCTTCGTCGTTTACTTCCTCAATATTTGCTCCTCTCTCAATCAAAAGCATTGCAAGATCAACGTGACCTCCACAAGCAGCCAATGTTAACGGTGATTCAAAACTGTCTGTTGGCATATTCACTTGCGCGCCCGAATCCAAAAGTAGTCGAGCTACTTCTACGTGACCATCCATCGATGCTTCCATAAGGGCAGTGTGCATTTCATCGGTTTTGTGCTCCTACAAATTGAGATGCTTTGACTCTTCTTCATGCGAGTTAAAATACAGTTAAAATACGCATAACACGAGTAATATCGGCAAGTACCTGGTCTGCACCAGCTTTTAACAAAAAGCGAACCATCTCTAAATGTCCTTTATAACAGGCCAGTGTTAACGCAGATTCTTTAAATTCATTGGAATGAGTATTAATTCCAGCGCCATGGTGTAGTAAGATCTTAGCTACTGGAACATGGCCAGCACTGGCTGCTTCCATTAACGGTGTATGACCATTCTCATTGTGATCCTCTACATTGGCACCCGCTTCTAACAATACTCGTACTACCTCTTCGTGACCACCCGCGCAACCATACATAAGGGCAGTATTACCTAAAGACATCGAAAGCTATTTATTAACTTTCATATATCGGTTTGTACAAGCAGATAGGATATTAGATTTTTCTATTAGGAAGAATCCCTGATATACTGGCAGTAATGTCATGTTATATCTGCAAATTAAGTTAGTACCATCAAATTTCATACCTGAAGTAGATTGAGAATTAACATCGGCTCCATGAGCAATAAGCAAGCTTACAACATCCACATGCCCAGCACTGGCAGCTTCCATTAAAGGGGTACAGTCCCCCTTTATACCACGGTCCTCTACGTTTGCATTCATTGCCAATAGTACCTGTATGAAAACAAATTGCTCGTGAAATTATACGATTATGTTGAAGCATTTTTAAAAAGAAACTAACTTTACAATATATATTAAGATATATGTTATAATGTA